TGATCGATTGAATAGATTTACAGCTTTTTCGTGTTTCTTATGGATGCTTGCTACGAGAGATTTATTTTTTTCACATCCAATTACTGCTGCGGATGACTGGATATATAGCTGAAGAGTACAGAGGTGTCTTTCTAGTTTACAGTTCTTATCGCGTGTAACCGTATTGGTACTTTGTTTACTTTCTAAAGAACCTTTGCAATTTGCCCGGTAGAAGGTAAAAAGAAGAAGGTAAATTGACTTAGCGTAAACAAGAGATAATTCACGGTGACGCCTGTAATGGATGACACTTGTGTATCAAGCCAAGGGTTCGAATATCAACATAGCATATTGATGAATACTAATTAGATCTACAATATCAGCAATTATGAAATAAAATGAGTACAGAATTACACGAGAAAAAGTGAAAACCGATCAATCAAATTCCTCAGCCTCCCCATCAAGCGATCTAACAATACCAGATTCCGGATGTTCATTCGGACCCACAATCCCCTATACAAGCGACACACAGGAAGGCAGATTCAACAGAATTCCGTTTCCCGTCGCGGCTTTTCATTACCCACTTGTCGCTAACGTATACAGCTTCATTAAAATCCTTATCTCCGCAAACCCCGCCCAATAAACCCTCTATGCCACTCGTCAGACGTCATTTCACCCGGAGACGTACCGATAGCTATTTCGGAGACGTATAAAAGTTTCCTCGTCCTCGAACGGAGTATGTACCGACAGAAATATAATGTACATTTCACTTTGTTCGCGCAGTCGCATCGTTTAAGGACCCGTCCGCGGTGAGAAACTGTTGTCCGCCTGGCGGCCGCGGCCGGCGATACCGGGTCGGGTCAAAAATTCCGCGGTTGCCACGAAAACCTGGCGAGAGGTTGGTAAATATACGAAACGGTGCGATGGAATATTCGCACATTAGCGACAGGCCATTAATACCGGGTTCGCCGGAGTGGCGTTTCGCTCTTTAGCGAACGGGTAAGTGGGTTACCCGTGCTCTCGCTCAAGCCCGAGCGCGCGCGCGCGGGACCACGCACCCACCCCCACCCTCGGGGTATAATTGTTTGGACACGAAAAGCTCGGCGCGTAAAACATCGTTTCCTTACGTGCCGGTTCTCTTTGTTTGCTCTTCCATGTTCGCGCGTCGCGGCCCGTTAAATTCAATTTACTTCGGTTGCGCCCGTGGCCCCCGGGTATATTTGTCTTCGAAAATGCACCGGAACTCGATCCCCGGCCCGAAACAATCGAAACCGTGTCCTCTCCTCTACGAGGGCAACTTTCCGCGAGGCTATTTCAGTATACGGCGAACGGACGCCGCGGGATGCACAAGTTTTCGAATCGCGTCGGACTTTATTCTCGGGACGATCGATGTGCGGAATTTTGACGGCGGTCGCGGTAAAAGCGTCCCGAAAGCAATTATTTTTTATTTGGGTATTTTTGCTGGGCTTCCGGGGATTGAGTGCTTTCGGATGTTGCTCTCGCGCGTTGACGGGTGACCGTTGCGTTTTTAACGCGCGGAGTAATTGAGTTTCAGTTTTAACGGTTGATTATGGGGAAATTGGGAAATGTGTGTTGTAATGTAGGAGATTCGAGGATTTTTTTGGAATTCTTGTCTGTGGGTAGTTATTTCCGTACTGTCTCTGTGGTAGTAACTTTCGGGTTAGTTAGAATGTCATTACGCTCGCATTGATCGTTATATTCTGCATTGTTAGCTCTCAATGATAAGCGCTGAATTAATTGTAAAATAAATTACTATGTTCTGGAAGAAACCGCGAAATGTGTTTGTAATATAATAGGTTCGATAACTTTTTGGAATTCTCATCCATACTTGTTTCCGTACCGTCGCTATAATAGTAATTTCCATACAAGTTAGTATAACATCATTAAACTCGCATTGTCCTTTATATACTACATTACTCGTTCTCAATGCCAAGTGCTGAATTAATTGTAAAATGAGTCACTATGTATCGAAAGAATACGGAATCCAAGTTCCGCCCCCTCGAGAATAATTCTCGTCACGCGCGCTGATGGGAAATCATTAGAGCCACGCATATTAATCTCCCGATCGCTCTAATCGAAATTAAGACAATGATCCCGATGGGAGGGAGGAGGTCCGGAAGTGACGTCCGATCTCATTAAAATTGCAAACGGCGTTTTCTTTTTTCTTTTCCTCCGTCCCTTTTTTTCGTGAATGGCGGCTAGGGGCTCGTAAAAAGCCACCCTTGAAACGCTATTGACAGTGGATATCGTTCGACGATTGCGTCACCGATGACGGGGACATCGTTAAACACGTTTCGCTCGTCTATCATTCCTGGCTGGGTTCATTGTCGCCACGAGAAAAGCTTTTACCGCGACGCCGGCCGCGTTACAGCGTATTACATCACGGCGGACGGCCGGCCGTTCTGACGTTAACGAGCGATAGTATTTCGTATCGAACCGCGTGAACTTTCGCCGCCGCGATGAAAATCAGCCCCCGGTTCCTCCCACGAGGAAAACTGTAACTGCTACGCGGACAAGCAATAATTCCTGTGTTACGAGCACCGTTTAATAAACGAGCCGAGGCCATGGCTACTTATTAAACCACCTCGCGTTTCGTTTGTCCACGACGCGTTTGGGAACGTGTCTGTTTCCCGTCTCGCCTCCAACTTCATATTTCGCGGTATTTACGAGGCCGTTACAGAAACAATTTGTCTACAAATAATCGGTTTTGTTTCATGGGAGATTGAGAAAACGGGAAACGGTTCCTTTATTTGGAATATGGGATGGGAATTGTTTGCTTCATTTGTGGAGGGAGAAATTGGTATGTGTCGAGGATATGGTATGGAAGTGGAAAATCTATTGTGAATTATTTTTGTAGAGTTTCTAAGTAAATGTTTTGAAACTGTTCATACCATGGAAGTAATTTGTTTTTCGGTATCACGATTATTCTGGAAATTAGGGTTTCATAAGATTCATAGGGAAAATGAGAAATTTTTAGTCGATGCGTAGTTAAAATTCTAGTGTGTAATGAGAATGTTTTTTTAGATTCCATAGCGTGTGAACTCTGTATAAATTTCGGAATAAACGTAACGCCAAAAAGACCAGCCAATATTCCTCCCCCAAATTTTCTCCTTTTCTTCCCTTGGAAACTCATTTCGCCTAGCTCCGCTTCGGGACAAGCAATTTCCGGGATTAGGGATGCTCCGCAGTAACGCCGGGCCCGTATTACACAAGCCACAACTGCGACTCGCAATTCTTACTTTGAACAACAAGCAATATAAACAGTGATTGCGAGTTACACTGGTTCTTTCTGTTCAGCCTGAGGCCCGAAAGTTTATACAAAGCGTGGTAAATTCTTCGTCGTTCGACGTAACAGAGTCTAAAATACCCAGAGGAGTTCGAATTTTAGATTACGAAATATTTCCAAACTAGTTCGAAATATAAAGCATTAGAATATATAATGATTATAAAAATTCTGATCTATTGAATCTTCACAAGAACCCAATAATCTCATAACAACCAAATACACGATATTTATTTATTAGAAACAAAAACAGCCTTACAAAAATCCTTACAGCAAAGTAATCGATAAAAATAACATTCAAATGCAAAATCGAGCCACCAAGCAACAAATCCATTTACAAGCACACCAAAACAACATCACCATAATATTACCGATCAATCTCATCCACCGCAAAAACGAGAATTTCTCGAAAATCGGCGAACATCCCCTTTTGATCCATCGGAACCCCATCCCCTTATTATCACACTTCACCTGCTCGAACGGAGAAGCCCGATGAAATATTCAAATTACGATCGCGGGATCTCACCGAGTTCGTGAAATTATCCGATCTTGGTGGCTCGTAAAACGTTCGCGCCCTTAATGGTTTCTGGTGCCGAACTTCCTCATTACTCGGCCGTTCGCCGGGATCACCGGTATCATTAACCGTTAAGCGACAGCCGATTTCGACCGGAAACTCGATCATTTTCACGGATAGTTGAGGCCCGTTCGATCGATCCACGCGTAATTGCGGGAGCTCCACACGCTCGCTCGCACGCTCGCACGCACGCACGCACGCAGGCCAATGGCACTTTTCCACCCGTATTACTTCCTCCCCCGCGGGGGCTGGGGGGCGTCGTCATCATCATCGCCTTCCCACGGAGAAGGAATCCGCGGAACAATGCCGGCACCAGCCACGCCGAGGTGATCACGATTTCACGCCTCCTTCGGCGACTGCAATTGCGTGCTCTCGTAATCATTGCGTCGTATTACTGTTGCGCTTCGCGTGCGCCTCGCACGATGACGATAAAATTCTGTTCCGTAGCCGCATCTGAGAATTTCCGTGCACCCTGCACACGGGACAGAGCTCGGTAAACCAGCCCGCGGACGAGCTTTCATACAAATTGAGATAACGGTCCCGGTCTGTTTGAATAATGGGCCCGCGCCGGTGACGCGATGATATTTCAGAAAATTAACGAGCGTGTCTGGAAATCTTTATTAATTTGCGATTATCAGGCGCGACGATGGGGTCGCTGCTTTCTCGGGCAGGTGGCAGGGTGTTTTTTGTTTGGACGTCGCGTGTGCTCGGAGATTAACTTGACTTATGATGTGCTCCTTAGCTAAGATCGCTACAATTACTTTATCATTAGTAATTTATTGAGGGAACGGATGAACCTTGGGTATATTCTACGTCTCTATTTAGCCTAAACTATGATTATTGACAGAAAAATAATATTTCATTTGAATTGAAAAGAATTCACTGTTTATACTTGTTAGTTTCGCTTTCAAATCTTCACCACGAGTCTGATGTGTTATACGGTAAGGGGTTAATTACGAATATTGTTTCTTTAAAATTTCGAGTGTAATTGGTTTGAAAAGTAATTTCCGGATTGATTACGCGTTCGTGTAGTCTCCACAGGATTTAAGGCAACTGAAACTAATCTAAAAAGGAACGAAATCCTCTATTAATTACTTCACAAAATATTCTTCGTACCTCGATATTACTACTTAATCGTTTCTCATTTAACGCGCCAGTACGTGTATGCCTTTAATATTAGTTCATAGACTCATCAATGGTTCCCCTCCATGGAAATCTTTAGTAAAGGGCGAAAGATTTATGCGTGATTTGAAGGGAAACCAGGGTTTATTACAATCTTCGATTAAATGAAATTATCTCGACACGCAACCCATCAAAAGCGGTTCAGCTATATTTATTCCGCAAGGTGGAGGATGCTACATCAAAAAGGCCCTCAACATGTTCGCTACTACCGTCGCATATTCGCAACGATTAGTGTTCCATGTGTGCGCGAAAAAGAGTAAATTACATTTATTTGTTCATTCATATAATACTGTAAAACATGGTATAATGTACAGGAAGCCATTATATTTTATACTCGATTACTATTTGTATTTTGTAAAGACTAACCCATTTAATTTAATCCATTTACATCATTACATAAAATAATCCGCACACGATTGATATTTACCAATTTCAATCAAACACTTGAAAGACTTTTAGATTTATAAAGTAAGCTTCACATTTAGAGCGAAGATGCAAATGGATTAACACTAACCATACCAACACTTGTCTTACAGAAACTAGTCAAATAACTGGCTACAAAATAGAGATTAACAAATTAGATGATAAATTTCTTTTAGCGGAAACAGAGACGAAAGAAACGATGAAAATTGAGAAACCAATCGGACAATATAGGAATTTATATAAAATTAAATGAACGAAAGAAGGCGAAGAATTTTAAATCCCGTCATTTGATCGGTTGGTGAGATTAGTGTTAACAGTAGAACTACCGAATCAGTTAAAATGACCGGTTTCGATTTGTTTGTTTCGAAATTATTGATATTTTCGGAGCATTGAGTATTCGAAATGATCTTGACAACGAATAGTGTCACTGGAATACTATAAGGAATATCTGAGGAAATTAAAAATAGACTATTGGTAGGATTTTCATAAGGATGCTCTATAGACAGATAAATGCTCTAGTTTTAATGTCGAATTTGTGTGTTTGCATAGATACAAGGCTAAGAGACACTTCGAATCGGAAGAAATGTAGTGTTCTAGTTTTTATAAAAAGTTCGACGATAAGTCACTCTAATTGCAGCCAATATAGGAATTGATATAGAATTGAGCAAAAGAAAACGCAGAGTTTTAAATCCGGTCGTTTAGTCATTAAATCCGTTACGATTAGTGTTAAGACTGTAACCGTGACAACGGTCTATCAACAACTATCAACTATCCAATGAGATCGCGTCGCGATAAGGAGAAATACTTAACACATTGACTGCCACGAGAATTTTTACTGTTTCGTACAATAATATTTGTCCTATCGCAACAAAGTTAAGTACTGTCTGAAATACATATTCACAATGTGGTGTCATAGTACTCGTATGACGCTATTATCTAGTTACTAAATATTTTCATTCAACATCAATTTCCTTATTGTAAATGTTTTCAAGCAATTTGGAAGCTCCAGTCACCGGTGACCACCGTGGCATTCAACGTGTTAAAATAGAAATAAATAGAAAACAAACGGGAAAAATAAGAGCAAGAGAGAGAGAGAGAGAGAGAGAGAGAGAGAGAGAGAGAGCGAATATACATTTTTTCTCATGACTGAATCGTGAAGCGGCCAATATCACGCATCTCCTCTCTTCGTGCTGCCGGTTGACTTCATGTCGAGCATTAACCGGGTGTCGGATTACCGCGTTCCATTCCTAAGCCGGCATAGAAACAGACAGCTTAATCCGGCGCCCGATTTACCTAAGCGACTCGTCGATCAAATCCGATGAGAGACAATGCACTGGGACCGGGGAGAAAAGAGGACAGGCCGAAGTTAATTCGCGCCTAACCGCGCTCGCGCGTCCGTAATTCACTTATCCACGGGCGTAATAACAGTCGGCCAGGGATTGCGCCGAGCGGCACGTATCGGGGCTTTTCGATTCCGAATTTTATTAATAAAATTATCGCTCGTCACGATGAATAAAACTATCGACGGGGAACTAATCCTAATGAACTTTATCGCACAGCTATCCGTGCGCTTCGAACGCTCAATTGCAAAATAAAATGTCTGGTGAAAGTGTTCCTTCTTGGGGAATGATCGCGCAATGTTCGCCGCGATGCTCGTTTCGTCGCTTTGTTCTCCGCGAATGGGAATTTATCGACAGTTTGCATTTATCAAAAGCGAGACCATCATTCTTCTCGATGGGGTGTGGGGTGGATTTTTATTTTGCGAATGTTGGGCAAAGAAATTTGAATAATAGCTTTAATCCGTTAGTTTTATAATTTACTAACAAACAACCACTAATCCTTTAAAATACTTTGATTAGTAAAAAAATACTAAGTAGGAGAAGCACTAAATATTCCTTGAATTACATCCTAAATTTTAAAACCTACCATACTGTTCTAACGATAATACCGTAATCAAGGTTTTTCCTGAAACTTGGTCGCTGAGCCAGAGAAAAAAGGCTGCAATTAAAATAACAAGATCGCAATCGACCACGAAATCGAGGTCTCAGAATGAGAGAGAAAGAGCCGCGAGCAATCTGTCCCGAAACTCGAGCAAATTCAATCTCGGCATCGATCTCAGGACACGAAACGGCTTGGTCGTAACTAAGGTGACCAAGATTGCGGATCGTAAAGCCTCGCAAAAATAAGTCCGAATTTAGCGTCGTTCGCGGCCATAAATCTCCGCTACTTCCGACGTTAAAAGTCGACCGTGCACCTCGATCAAGCGGCGCGCGCGCGCCGAGGTTCTTGACCGGTGTGTGCGCGCGTCGGGACGAGGGTGTGTTGCACGGTGTGCCGTGAGGCTCTATGGGGTCTCACGACGATGATCCAGGGGGTTGCCAGGCTGATAAAGCGGCCTGCACACCGAGAGATAATCCCGGATAGAGAGGTTCGCCATTTTAACTCATTTTCTCTATGGTTTCTTTTTGAACTGTGATCGAGCTAATTAGTTTGTCATTCACTTATTAAAAATAAGAGAGAATTCCAATCTTATTCCATCTTAACGTCTGCAAAGGTATAATCATTGATAACAGAGGAATGATGTGTAATTTAAATTTTAATTGAAGTCGTTACGAGTCTGACACGATATTATAGGGTAAGCAGTTAAGAGGTTGGTGAGGAGCGCCATTTTCTAATTTCGATAAAGCCATAGAACGCAATTGAAAATTCTGTTTGATGTATCATGTACGTGACTTCATGGTGAACTAATATTCGTGTTAGTAGACTTTCATGGTGAATGTAAGAATGTAAGTGTACAGATTAATACTAAAACTACCAGAGGGGCTAAAATGACCCATTCGTGGTTTCTTCTTTTTGCAATTACTAGAAAGGTAACAGATGTTTCTCTGAGAAATTATTAAAGAAATTGATTTAGCAATACTGAATTGTAAAACAATTATTTATTATATTCAATGTAACTGCTCGGTAGTTTTAGTGTTGAATGTTCGAGCTGCCCCTTATCTATGCTGTAGTACAAAGAAATTGCTGATGGATTATTTGGAAAGAATATTTTGGTGATAATATGAAATATAAATTTAGAGAATGAATTTATCTTCAACTGTTTTAATAGAATAGTGTTAAAAGTTATAGTGATTCTAGAAAATTCTTACCTTCAAGTGTTTTAATAGAATAGTTTTAGAAGGTGCAGAGATTCTAGAAAATTCTTATGGCACTCGTATTTATTTGTTTATTAGTGATTTCAAAATATTATTTACTGCCCATACTATTTTGTATTTATCTGTGAATATGCAATGACTTATTTCTTTCGTGCGATTTCTTATGTCACAACACTTGTGGCCTTGCGTTTTATTTGTACTCCGCGGGTTGATTCGTCGCCGGATAAAATGGCCGCCGGTTCACTTCTTCCGTTCATCTCTCGTCCGAACAGCGCTACATGTTTTCCTTTCTTTTCTTGTTCTTTTGCTCTTATTGATCCTAGCCATCAACCTTCTCTTTATTATCTTTCGGATCGATAACTTTTTATTGGAAAAGTTCGTGTCCGCTGACGTTTTCCATGCTGACTTTATGGACGAGTCCGTTTGACGATGCGGAAGTGATTGGAGGAGGACGCGTTGTTCAACCCTCTGGTGTTCATATTTTTCTTTACGAGTATTGGGACAGAATTGCGCGCAACGTGGAATTCGGATTGAAGATATAGAGAAATAAAATGGGAAAAAATCGTGAAACATTCGTTGTTGTCGCGGTAATACGATTAAATACGAAATTAGCTCGGTAGTTCAGAAAATCGAAGGCGCGTTTATGTAAACCGCGTAAAACGACAATTATGGAAATCGACGAAGTTTCTGGCAAACGGGAAATCTATATTTAAACTTTTCAACGAGCCGAAAGATTCATTTCAATGGAAAAAAAGAGCCACGGCGCTCCTATAAGTCGCGAAAATCGTAATCGCTGCGAAAAATCTTGTCCTTTTAATTTCGTTTTCATGAAATAAATTGCTTCAATTTTATAGGATTTTTACGGGCGCCGATCCAGCAGCCAGTGTGTTAATAAACTGAACTCGAGTAATTAATTTCATAGACCTGGAACAAGTTACTGAAGCGGGATACATATTACACCTTTCAAACCGTATTTTTATTCGGAACGAAACGCGCGTTCAATGCAATCCTGGTTAATCGTCTTTGAAAAGCTTAACCTTAAAGCGAGTCGCACACGTAACGTCGATTGCGTTACATCCACTTGCAGTCCACGTGAGAACTATCGAAAAACCCTCAATTCAACCCTCAACTATCTATAATTTTTTAATAACACTCTCTTCACCTATAAAACAACAGACTATTCAATAACCTTATAAAAACCATTGACAAAAATTGTAATCCAACAAAACAGCAAATACATCTCAAACTACAAGAAGTTTAATAAATAAAATACAAATTCCTTTACATTCCTGCATAATACTGTTGATAATTAACAGTAGAACTACCAAAAATTCAAAATCATTAATGATACATTATAAAAATCAAAAGAGTATCCTCCGTAAGATTTGAAGGAATCTCAATATTCCTATACGAATCAACGAATCCATTCTAAAATCCTTACGACGGTGTCTTCGCAATTTTACTAATTACGGAATAACAATTCAGAAACGTACCTCTAGTGTCGAATA